CACTGCCATTCTTTCTATAATATTGAGGGGGACCCATTTCTTATCTGCAACTCCTCCTATACCACTAAATAAAATTTAATGATACTTCCACAGATTCTTTATTACATAATGACATTGTGCACCTCCTATTTTACTTTTTGATCTACCACTTATTTTGGGTCTTCTGTAGCAAACATGGATTTTGCAATTATAATCATATGAGAGGCAGGAGTGTCATTTTGTGAGCTCAATGTTCATAGTGCCTCTAGTTTTGTCTTGTTCAAATGTTCTAAAAAAAATTTTTATTCTTTACGTAAAAATTATTATATTGTGTTTTAGGTTGTGTTATGTAATGAGCCCAGTGAGATGTTAGACTACATCAGTGAGGACCAATTAACCAGCGATGTGGGGGGTAAACTCGAGTTTGACGCCAATGAGTGGACTCAGCACAAATCTGTACGTAACTGTAGGAACATCAAACGTAAATAATTATTATATGAAGTCTAAGAGACAGACAAATTGTACTGATTTTTCCTCAAGAAAGCACTTTTAGTCCTGCATGTTAAAATTTGAGAATGGAAAAGGGATTTTGTTGGTATATGAAGTTACTAGGGGGTAATAATTCTTTAAAGCAGCTCACTGGATGAACGGCCTCATCTCTAGCTGATTAAGCATGCCGGAGTAAATAATGAAGTAAACATAGCATTCAGGAGTGGACCATTTTGCCAATAGCTTAATGTTGGTAATGATTCATTCATGCATAATTGATCAGGTTAATTTTTCAATCTTCATAAGTGATTTACCAACAAATTATACGGACCCTGTGTAATCACGTAATCACTGTAATATTTGATATACAGTATTGTAGCTGAGTCATTCTGTGTGGTGTAGATTACTAATGATACTGATATCTAGATATGGCTGGCCTTCATCTCCCTATATATTTTAAGTTATCATCTGGAAGGGAAGAGCACCTGTTCTCACATTATTACTCTGAATTATTTCATTTAGATAACAGAGATATTTTCTGTAATCTTTGTTTATAAACATCGGACCAGTTGGGGGTACTTGTTGAACTCTTAAGAAGGTGGTGATAAGTGTGAATATATTACCTTACTCTATTTCCTGTGTGTTAATTCAAATCCAGAATTAGATATCTTTTTATATAATATGTACAATTTATTTTGACACAGATAAAGAAAAAAATCAATTAAGATAAATCTGGTTCCTTAACTATAAAATACTTATCTTACTATGCAATCTGATTACATTCTATTTTTGAATTGTATGGTACAAGAGTTCTTGGTACATGATTTTTGGTGTATACAAGTTGATATGAGAGATTTACCAGTATTTATTTTATAAATTAATACCTTTCGTGAAAAAATAGACATATCAGTATCCCCAGAAAACCTCAATTACCAACAACAAAAGATTCATTAAACAGATGTAAATGGAATTAATATAATTTTTAAATTATTTTTTACGTTTATTAATTTCACCAGGCTGTAGAGAAGTTTGCCTCTAACACGGAGAAGATGGGGACAGCGGTACAGGTCTTGGTCAAGAAGTACGAGGAGATCGAGATTCCTAACGATGTCCCGGGGATGGAGAAACTGATACAGGACCACATCCAGGGACGTAAGGAAATCCTCGACGACCTAGCCTCCACCGTCACCCACGGAGAAACGCTGCTCAGCTGTATCAGGGGGGATAACTCAGAAATCCACTTCACTCAGGCTACACACGTTAGAAGTCTAGAGAAGTAGGTCATAACAGCATTAATCTGCTGCTTTAAAACTTTCAGATGGTATATTGAATTCTATCAAATTGTAATACATGTACATGTATATGAAAAATCTTAAACTCTTTTTTTTAAAATATTCTTGAACAGACTTATAATGACAAAAGATATGTTGTAAACTTATGCATGTATTTTTGTGAAGTAACTAGAGGAAAGAAAATTCCTATGTTAGTATTTAGGTATTATTTGTGAAACAACAATAGCTTTGGGTGTAAACTCTAAGAGAAGGAATTTTTTTTATTTACAGAGTGAGTTTTAAAGTCAAAAACTGTATATATACCATATAATGGGTAATTTTACATGCTGTGAATTTTAACTAATGTTCACTTGTTCAATAATTTCATCAACAGAAAAATTTTATCAGAAACCACAGCAGTAATATTTTATAACAGAAAAAAGTGTAACAGCTCACATCGGAACTTGTTAGATTCCTCAGAACTGTTTGTTTTTTAACACCTATGTACACATTTTACGTAGCAATTCCAATTTTGTGCGAGGGAAAATTTTTAATGTCCAGATAATGACAATTTTTACCATCATCTATATTCTTGCTTCGTTTTGATCATATTTTTTAAAACTTTGCCATATTTTAAAGACGTACAACACACTGGGGGAGATAACTCTTGCGATTTCAATTGAACGTTTGACGTAACGTCAAATTTAACGTCAGAAATAAAGCGTCAAAACGACGAGTAAAACGATCCCGATGTATATCAATCATGAAAGAAAATTGGGATATTGGGCTTGGCTGTGATTGTGCGTACCATACTCAATATTAATTAGTATTTTTTTAATTAACCCGATTAAACTCCGTAAAAAGCAAGACTTAAAATACCATCCCTTAATGTTTATTTCATTTCATTTCATATACAAAAAATTGTATTTTTGATCAAAGCGCAGAATTTTTTTTTTATTCTTTAAATTTTATTTTGCCGAAATTCTCATTATGTACAATTGGCTATATAACATTCCGATTAATGGTCTTCATTACAATTTGTGCATACACGATATAAATATTGTTTTTCTTCTTTAATTAAATAAAACAACAATAAATAAACAAAAAACCTGTTACAATGTAAAATCGATGTTGTTCTCAGACCCTTACTGATCAAAGAGGAACAACTCTGAAAATGTAGGAGATGTTTATTTTCCTCCCTTTATTCACGGTTTTCCACAGAATCAATCTATACACAGCAAGACCTGATAAATCCGAGAATTGAATACTATAGACCTGAAATGCACAATGTAAGTATATAGAATTGAAAAGAATTGTTTACTTGTTACTGAAATTATCTGCATTCAAGAATATCCTATTGCAGCAAATCGTAACTGACTTTCTGTCAACAATGTCGGTTCGCATTTCCTCGAATCAAAACAAAACGTAGTCTATAAGATTTTAGAAAATATCAATGTGCGATTTGATATAAATTGAAATAGATGAAGAGTTTAATTATTGATATTTTGATGTTCATGTGGACGAATACGGAATTTTCATTTTAACTTTAGAAGCGACGACATTGAAAGAAATGCGTACAATATCATGAGGGGTGTATGTACATCTAATGCAAATGTCGATGTATCTTCACGGCCACATACTGTCTCGTTTGAAAAGATGACATGAAAGAACATACACCATTTTTTTAATGAATAAAATTAAAGAAATAAAATTAAAAATCAACATATTCAAGTTCAACAAAACTTGAATTCGTATCCAGGTTTCATGAGATACTAGTATGGAATGCATAAACGCATACGTATATGGACTAGACACTAAAATCTTTCAGTAATTTTTTCCTGATACATATAAAAAGAGTAGTCAATATTTATTCTGCATTCATGAATTTAAAAACTAATGCATACCTCCGGGATTCTTGACGAAATACCAGTATATTTGCACTGTAAACGACGTTTCGTCAAACGCTAAATGGTCTGCGACGCAAAAAAGGAAGGGGTGGGGGTGATAGGGGTATTCAAAAATTGCCTAAAAATCTACATTTAAATACGCTTTACATATGAGAACTTTTAAATTTGTAAGTTAATATATTTTTGAAGCAAAAGCAATATTCCAATTTAATTTTTTAAATGTGTATTTGTAGATTCATATAACAAAGTGATCGACCCCCGTCTGAAAGACGCGCGGGAACGTGTTTTATTGAGAAAGGGGGAGGGGGTAATTTTCCGCTATTAAATGAAAACTGGTCGTACAAAAATTATACAAAAAATTATTAAGATTATTTTTACTACCAGCTACCTAAAGAAAGTTTTTTACAAAAATTAAACGACAGGTTTTTTCACAAAAAAATTTTGAATTTGAAAAATACGCAATTTTCAAGGCTTAGAAAATTCATAGTTTTTCAGTTTAAGGTCTTTTAAAATTGTTTTGATGATATGTATATCAAAACGATGACTATGTTTTTGTGTTAAATGGTTAAAGGAATAAGCCAATGAAATTTGACATTTATATCTAACCTGGTTTTTTTGAAAATCAAGGTTTAAGTAGTTCATTGATTAAAAAATTTCTCTCCTTGTAAACAACTAAAGGGGGGTAACTTTCGGAAGTTCCTGTCCAAAAACCACTCGAACGATTTTGTCCAAAATATGCATACATGCAGTAGATATAGTCATGTACTAAATATACAAAAATAACGAAAATTAAACGACAGGAATTTTTTGGGGTAGGTGTGTTGTACATCCTTAAATGGTATAGTGAGACAAAAGTCAATATGCATGTAGACTGAGTATTCAAAGGTGTGAAATGATCCTAGCTTGTAAAATGGACATCTCAAGAACAATCTTGCTTTTACAGAGTGAAAAATTATTATCTTTGACAGGATAAAGTCAATCAATGACTAAAGTATCTATCTGTAATTTAATGATTTGACTGATTACCATAAAAAGGGAAATTTCAATGAAACATCCAGTTACTTTTGATAATGCAGTTAGAGGTATAACGGGTATCCATTGTATATAGTATTTAAAAAGGAAGTCAGTCTGACTATATATTTATATCAATAAGATTGGTTTTACTGAATTTCTGATTTTAATTGTTAGGACATCTTCTGTCATGTTTTGAAGATACAACTTTTGAGCCAATCTTTGTTTAATTGCAGACTTCTGATAAAACTTGAGGAGATTAAGAAAGAGTTTGAAGGATTCTGGGCTCGACACGAGAAGAGACTTAAACAGGCACTGCTTCTACGGCAGTTTGAGGAGGAATTTAAATTAGTAAGTCATTTAGGATACATGGGCCCTACTTTTTTGACAGTTACTTTCATAAGTAATGGAGAAAACTGACACTCTTATAGAGCAGGTTATAAGAATTATTTAATCAAAAATAGATTTTTCATAGAGCAAGTCAAATGATATAAAATATATGTGATTTATGTACTTATGCAGATAGTAAAATTTTTGTTTTTTTAATCAAGATGTTTTTTTCCATTAGTTGATTTTAGGCTCACAATTTCAATTAATTTAAATTGTTAATCCTTTAAAATTTAGCTAGAATCCTTATTTACCCAGTATTATGATTTGATTTTCCAGTACCAGTATAATGTAGAACGTAAGCTGGAATGGCTACAGACAAGAATGTCCCAGTTAGGAGACTCACTGGACAAGGTGGAGGAACTCTTCCAGGAATTCGAGGAGTTTGAGACTGAAGCTCAGGTAAGATTTCAGGCTAACATTCCCAGGTAAAATTCAGGTGAAATTCAGTGTGGATTAGAGGTGGAATCCAGAAGATGGTATGCTGTAGGAGTTAGTGCCCTTTGTACAGAATGCAGTCTATAAAGTAATATGGATAGTTTGCAGTTGTACTGTATAATGGGTTATTTTTATGATAATCAAATTACGATATAGCTTCTTTGTAAGCATCTTAAAATTGCAAAAAAATTAAATGTGCATAAATTTGTCACTGATTGTGCACTGTATATAAAACTTAAAACACAATTTCATCACCCAAATGGGACAGTCACAAAAATAGGACTCTCACCTCAAATTAAAACTACCAGTATCGTAACATATTTTCACAAAAAGTTTGTAATACACAGAAAATACCGGTTATATAGTACTCTGTCTTTTAGTTTAATTAAATTCTTTTGAAAGATTTTTTTTTAAGTAAACAAAATTAATTAACTATTTTCTTTGATATAACTTAGTCCAGCAATGGCCCATTCAGGTAGTTTCATAATTTAAGGTGAGAAGTTCCCCTGTGAATGAGAAAATTTCTCACCTGTGTTACGTCCTTGGGACTTTAATTAATTCCTGTGAAGGGTTTACATAGTACTCTCTGCCTACCTGTTCACACTGGATTATAGCTTGACTTCTTAATACTTTAATCTAATGGAATCATATGAGAATTTGATGAATAATTTGGCCAACAACTGACCTGATTTTATCTGCCTGTTGGAGACCAAACTAATTGGATGTGGAATATTTCTATCCATATTTGTAGGTCTGTATTACATTCTTTTCACTAATCACAAGAAATTTTTGCTTATTGAGGAATAACATATGTAATTGAATGTATGTGTGATTTTTTAATCTATAATAAGTAATCACTAATACCAACTATTTAATGTGGTGTGCCAAGATTCAGAAAGCTGAATACATGTATGTATGTTCGGTTTCCCTCCTCTGTAAAAAATGATGCTCAAGTTTAGATTGGTGGTAGTTAGAGATTTAGATTAAAACTTCTTTTTCTAAATAAAAAGATTGGTCATCTTTTATAATATCTAAATTGAACCAGGAATAATTAACTCAATATACTGAGTTGTCCCACTGGTTTTGATATATGACAATACATGCTGTCACAAAATATGGACAAAAGAAACATAAATATGACAGGTTCTAGAATTTGTTGGATAATTTAACAGATTTTTGTAAATTGAAAAAGAAAATGACTGGGCGTATAGAAAGAATATATATGTTCTCCCTCTATCTTCAAGAGATTGTGAACTAGGGAAAAAAACTTGGATTTAAATTGGTTCAATTCTATTTGATAATTTAGATCTTCGATTGATTAGAATATTTGTCTTTGCTTTAAACTCTTCTGTGAGTCTGATTTGAATAATTATTGAATCCATGCTTCTGAAAGCAGTACTATAGGGTTTAAATGAAAATTGTTCTGTCATTGTTTGGAGTTATAGCCGTTTATACGTTAATGATAGGAAAAACTAGGGAGAGATAAAAGCAACAGAATAAAATATCAACATCAATATTTCATTTTGGTCCAATTTGTAAAAGGTGCATGCACCTGTCTTCTTTCTTCTTTACAAGGTTATCTTTTTCCAGCTCAAACCTCCTATCTTATAATCTGTGAATTTTTAGTCCAAAACTTTATTCAGGCCTTAAAATGAGTTAATGTATTTTTTTTTTACAAATCCTACATCATTCTTTGTCTTACACATTAAACTTTAGTGATAGGGAGAGCTGTTATATTTAAGTCCCTCGTCAGTAGGAATCTACTGTATTTACCTGTGACCAGTAGCCAGGTGAAATATCTACCTCTATAGAGATCACCTGTAGTATTATCAGTCCCCCACCTAACCTACAGAGTCCCTTATCCTCAGTGTTCACCCCCCTAATCTGACAGTTTGTGTGATTCGTGACAACTCAGGATAAACAGCTACTACGAAGTCTTGTTTTCTCCTATCAAAATTTCATTATGTGTCATTTTTGTTAGAGTAAAACGATATATATCGGTACATTTGGTGTATAGATAAAACTGGTTGTCTCTCCTTGAAGGTTGCTTCCCTTTATCTCTCTAATCCAGGGTTACATGAATATTAAGCTCTCATATTACAACTAACTTTTCCATTCATGGGATCTTCCAAAAAGTATTTTTTCCAATAATTTATTTTAAAAAATGCATGTTTCTAAATCAAAAGTTGCATCAATTTAAGAAAATATGACTACGAAAATAATTTTTATGGATTTCCTTGTTCATTTTGGTCTAGTTAATTTACATGAGTCAGAGAAGTTTTTTTTTTAAGGACACACTACATGTACTACAAACAAAAAACTGGATACATTTATTGTTGGTATACATTTCTGGACTTATTTTGGTTGTACCGTAACTAATACACTTATCATATATTTCTTCCGTAATGCCATTTCACTGTTGTAAACTGATCATTGTAATACAATTTTTCATTATTCAAAAATTTTGTATAAAAATGATTTTTTGGCTAAACTTATTCAATTGACTTATTTAACAAAAGTTTGTATCATCTATTCTTAAAATTAAGGAAGATTTAAGTTTTTTCAATCTACAAATTTAAAATTTCATTTTTAGAATCAGTTGAATCACATTTTAAAATCAGGAGCTCCCATTTTCGAAAGAACTTGCAACTAAGGCCAAACTTAGTTTTGGTTATTAATTTCTATTTGACATTAATTTAAGAATGGTTTTAATCATTAAAAAAAAAAAGATTTTACAGAGATATATTTATGTTTGAAATTTGAAACAGAATTATCTATTTTTAAGAATTTTACAATCAACTAAGGTTTTTGGTCTATGTTTTTTATTTGTTTGTTTTTTGTTTAGTGTTTTTTTTTTTTGGTGTAAAATGGGTCCTAGAAATTACATTTATAGTCATGCAGGCTTTGATTCTTTTATGATTAATGGATCATAATATTTATAAATGTTATCATATTTTTGATTGGTGATTTAAATATATACATAAGGACTATTTAATTAAGGTCTTCCGTTTCCAACGGAAGACCTTCTACTGATTCTGAAGATTAAGATTATTCTTATTATTTTTTTTTTGTTTTCTTCCTAGACGCCAACTTTGAGGCCTCATATCTCGCTCATTTCGCAATGGATTTTGCTCAAATTTTCAGACATTATAGATGGTAATAAACTCTTTCAGAATGCTGTCTAAAATTTCAAAAATTCACTTCCGGTGTTGAGTTATTTCCCTTTAAACGAAAAATTATAGGCTTTCATTTCCAGACAAAGGCTCAGAGACCACTAGAGCTGGAGCAGAAATTTTACTGGTTTTAGATAACAGAAGGATTGAAGTTGTGCACATCGGTTTTTGTTTTTCGATTTCTGTATTCAAAATGGCACTATATAGGGGTCAAAAAATAGAACGCCTAAAAGAGCGAAAATTTACACATATTTTCCTTTTTATCTTGAAAACTAAAAATATTTTGTTAAGACATGTTGAACAAAAGTTGTGCATAATTGCAAGGGCTTTCATATAATACTATTCAAAAGGGGCTGGCCCCTATGATTAAGGATTTAGGGAGCTTGAAAGTTTTTGCTTTATAACTCAAAAACGGTAAATATTTCGATCTGGATTATACGAACAAAATTGTTCTTTGACACCTTTTTGATCTGATGAGAATGTTTATTTGTTCGAATATACCAGGGATATTGCGTAACACGAAGTAGAAAGCAGGCCAGGTAAACAGATAGCGTTTTTCAATCGGAAAGAAAATCAGACCTCTTCATGTGTATAATTTATACAAACTTCCTATCAATAATATACCCTATGGTATTTAATGTTAAATTTCTACTAAAAGGTCTTTATACATGCTTTACGGTTCATTATTAAATTATTTATATAACAATTAGTTTTTCTTTTTTATGTATTATTAATTAGTTTTATAGTGAACACGTCTTCATCGGAATATATTAAATCTATCTTTCTACGTTAAATATAGTTATAAGTAATTTTAAGCTTTATTAATCGAATAATTCACGATCATTTAGTTGATCTCCACGTTCGCCAGCCTAGATGTTTGTAACAGTTGCGTAATCAAACGCGCCAATCCCACGCTCCGATCGGGGTCACTTGTGTACCAGCCACCTGTTGTCGTAAACAAAGCAAGTGTCTGTGATCGTGTTTAAAATCCATTGTGTACAAAGACCTATCAATTAATAGAAAATTGTGTTTTTAATTAATCGAATCAATAAGAATACGTCACCGATCTTACATTAAATCGCAATTCCTAACACTGGTGCATAAAATCATTTTGAATTTTGATAACTTTCTTTGGCCTGTTCACGCAAAATTATTTCTCTATTCCGTGTTAATGTATTTTATCAAAATTGTAATTGAAAAGGGGCTTCGGCAAATAATTATAATTAGTGAAGGAAGTCTTGAGATAGGTAATGTACTATATGTACGTTTTATTTTTACCATCACTCTTTTGTTTCTCCATTATTTTTTTAACGTGCGTGGTCACAGAGAGCCGCAGGCATGTCGAATGTTAAAAACATCGTGTACTCCAACAGTGGAAATTGGCTTTGAAATCATGTCGCCTTTTTCATATTACTGAATGACGGGTATTTTTTTTTTAGGTTTATAAATCCGTACAATTTAAACGCGTAAAATTTAACATAATTTATAAAACGGCTCGTATAATTTTTTTACACGGTATGTGTAAAAGTAATGCTTATTGCTACTAAGCTCACTCCATGGAGGCTATATAATTAGTATACTGTTAGTATTTTGAGCACTTTTAAGCCAATCATCAATTGGGATCATACACTCAGGTAAATCTCAATTAACTTGTATATAAATTAAACAAACATTATCAATTAATTTATAAGTTAGACCTACATGGTTACTCTTTTTTAGTTTTTTTTAGAGACGCATAACTTCTGATAATGACTTAATAATTACAGCTCTTCCAATTAAATGTATACCCGT